TTCTAATCTGAAAGATCACCAGCGGCTGGGGCTGGGAGGGTGGCTCATGCCCATAATCTTAGCACTTTGGGAGTCTGAGGTGGGTGGATTGCCTGAGCTCAGCCCGCACCAGAGTGAGACCTCATCTCTAAAAAGAAAAGAAAAGGCTGGGCTTTGTGGCAAGCACCTGTAGTCCCAGCTGCTTGGGAGGCTGAGGCAAAGGAATCGCTTAAGCCCAAGAATTTGAGGTTGCTGTGAGTTGTAATGCCACGGCACTCTACCAAGGCAAAAGTGAGACACTGTGTTAAAAAACAAACAAACAAACAAACAAACAAACCAAAAAGCAAAGAAAGAAGGATGGCCATCTTTGAGATAGGAGTTTTCACCATCCCTCAAATCTGGAGCCATGAGTAGGTGCTGAAGACACCTGCTCACACTCATACCCCCAATAAGGAAACATCGTTGAATAACTGCAAATGGCTTCCCAATCAAGTTCTAAGCATGGTAACAAAGGAATTTTTATTTTCCTTCTAAACATTACAATTAAAGATGTGGACTAAGTTTCTATTAGGTCACATATGTGACCATGATTTTTTTCCCTAAAATATTAGTATTATGTACTCCAAAGTTTTGATACTATAGTCCCAAAGGGCTACATCTGTCAGGAAGACCTGTGCCTCAGGTGATATGAGAAAGTCACACAGCTGGGTTAAGCTGTGAAGGAGCCAGGACAACGTTATCTGCCTTGCTAGGCTCAGAGTTCTCACAAGATCAAGGAGATCATGGCATTGAGTCCAGGCTGTACTAGAGGAAGTCATGTCCTTGTACTCTCTACCAACTATCTGCCAGCTGGATGTCACAGACCACATTTTTGGAACTCCTAGTCATCACCAAAGGCCCAGTCAAACTCCTTGTCACTGTAAATGCCTCTGGATTCATGTGGCAGAAGGATCTTGCTCTCTGGGCTTCTACAGACTCTGTTCCATTTGCTTTGTCACCTGCCCTGAGCCACAGCTGTTCTCTCATTGTCATGAATATTCATAAAGCATCATAATGCATATCTTGTTTATAAACTTAAGGGCTCTGCCAAGGGCAGATAATAGAATGAATGTACTTCTGTTATCCTCAGTACATGTCCCAGAGAATGGCACAAAATAGGAGCTCATGGAATGAATAAATCAGTAGCCCCCTGCTTGAGAGAGAAGACCGGTTTTCCATCCAGCTCTGAGACCAGCTGCAGGATCCTGGGCAAGTCCCTTCATGTTTCCCAGCTTCAGGGCCTTTGTCCATACAGAGCAGGAGTCAGGCCAAATGATCCCTAGGATCCCATTTAGCCAGGATTCTGAGGTCAGACAAAGAGCAGTACAGAAATATCAGGGCTCTTCAGAATCTGTGCCTTCAGGGCTGACCGGTGAGATTGAAGTTCTCCACATTTCTATGGCATTTCTCACAGTCTCCCTATGAGAAAATCTATTCCTTAAATACTCTCCTGAAGAGACAGTAAATGGACTCTCAGGCCTCTTTCCCTGGACTGAGCACCTCGCCCCATGGTCCAAGGGATAAACAAATCTTATCTCAGCCACCAAGAAGCATCAGAGACCACCCAGCTTTAGTCAGTGACCAAGGGGAAGGTGCAGCCACACTGGGAAACTGAGCACAGTCCTTTGCCTTTTTCCTTTAGGCAAGCTGCTAGGAAGAGTAAGAGAAGACCTTATGGATGATATTTTGGAAACTCTATCCCCTGCTAAAAAAGTTACCCAGATCATGGACAGTCAGATCTAACCCACCTAAAAGCAACTAAAGCCGAAGTTCCTTAATTCCTTCCTGAGTAAAACAAGTAAATAAATAATGACCAAAAATGTCTTCATCAAACCTGTCCTGGTGGGTACACTTTATAGCATTGTCATTGGCAGTAACTATGACAGGTTATAGATTATTACATCCATAGAAGGTGTAATGGGTATAAAAACTATACAATTTTCTGTTCTATCTATGGCAGATTCTTAATTATAGGAAGTCAGCTTCAGCCAGCAACAAGTCCAGGGTGGGTGCTGACTCCTCCAGCCCAGTCGCATCAGCTGTGGGACCAGCCCACTGGACCAGTGACCAGCCAGGAGGGATGAGGCCCACATAGGCCTCCTTGCTGGGATCCCATGGATTCCACAGAATATAGTTCCATGAGATCTCAGTAGGTGTTGTGTCATGTGTGTGCGCGCGCACGCGCACACACACACACACACGTCCCTGCTCAGAAAGGCTGATCAATGTGTCTACACTACAGAGATTTGAACCTTATTCTATCAAAACAACTATGAAACTTCCAGAGGGGTCTAATGTGTGCTGAATTTCCTGAACTTCCTTTTTTCCTAAAGTTTCACTTCCCAGGCCTACTGTTCAACAGCCTAATCTTTCAAGTCCATAGATACCCCTGACCTATGACCTCTATTCTAGAAAGCACATCCAACAATGTGTCAACCCTCTGTTACTTAGCCTCCAAGGCAACAGAAGGAGGCCTACAAATTATAAAAGCTTTTGACAATTGATGCTAAGTACCCCAGAGCTTTAAAACCCATTGAGATGTTTGTTGGAAATGACCCAAAGAAGCATCTACAGTATAATGCACAGTGCTTGGCTTCTTGGCAGAAAGTTCGACAAAGGGGTCCAGCTCTCTCCTCCTCTCCCACTATTTCTTCCTTCACCTTCAGTTAGGACCCACCACCAGGCGGAGATCAGCTCACACACTGCTATCCCTGCACATTATCTCCCCTCTCTCCTTCATTCCTACCCCATTTCCCTCCAAGCATCAGTCCAGCACAGCAAAGGGTGCTAAAGAATCAAACTTATCTATTAATTCCCTACTGATTCCAATCACTGGATTTCCTGACTCATCGTGAGGCTGGGTGAGGTCATGGCTTTTGGAAGTGAATTTGGTATTCAAGATAGTAGACTGTCTTTAGGCCTCTGTCAGACCTAAACAAAGATCTGAAACTTCTGGGCCTTAACAGTTGGCACACTAGTTCCAACGGCTTCTGGTGCCTCAGTTTTCAGCCCCCCCCCCCCCCCCGCCCCGTGTAATCAGGCAATTGTTATAGTTTTGCAAATAAGGATACATTTGTGAACTACCTGTGAAGTTGAAAATGAATAAAATGATGAGAGGAACAATGCTAAACGGCATTATGCTACACAAGGGTGGTATAACCATTAATAAATATAAAATCACATGGAAGTATTTATTACCTAGCTGAGGTGATAACAGCACCAAAAGATTACAAAAGGATGTCTCTAAATAAAAGCCATCCCTAGGAAGAAAAGGGGCAGAGTTTCTTTCTTTTCTTTCTCTCTCTCTCTCCTTCATGGCAGAATTTGTCCTTCTAGACTGAGATATACAGAGAATAAAAAACAACACATAGTATACCATCGATGGGAAAACACATTTACCTGAAGCTTTGATGTTTTACATACTCCGTGGTCTCTATACCTGGGTTTCAATCCACCTGCTTTCCCCTTAGCCTTTGGTTTCCCAGGTGATAAGGGCCAGAGCTCTTTCATTTCTAACACTGGAAAGTCTTATATCTAGACAGAAGTTAAAACGTGGACAGATTTAAAGTCGAACACCAAGGTGGGGGGAATCAGGGATGGTTTGTTTTCTCAGGTCCCTGATCACCACCCCCCATTGGTTTGCAACTGTTAAAGACCACAAGATACAGGACAATGTGTCCCAATAAATGTAGCATAAAGCAGTGAGGCCGGCCTGAAGGGTGAGGGTTGGAAAGGCATCTATGCAATTTATTAAAATAAAGGAAACCTCAAGCCTCATCTTGTGATTTAAGAGGAAGTCAATCATGACCAGTTTGCAGTTTAACTTACCATCTTGGCCATAGCTATATTTTAAATATTATCTATCAATGATTGATCTAAAAATCGAGTAGCTATTTTCAAAGGAACTGTTAGGCTCCAAAAAATGTTTTGTTGTTCTTTCCCATAAAATCATGCTGCAACATAAATTATAGCACCTTAGCAAAAGAACTGTGAGCTAAAACAACAGAAGGAAGTCAGCACTCACAGAGCTGGAGAAGTGAACTGAGGTTTGTTCACCACCTATGATTCTCTGATGCTATGATGCTCAATAGAATCATTTATTATTCTATGTTCTGAATTGTTTTAGATTGTTTCGTACTAACTAAAATCTGGCAGCTCTGACGGCTAAAGAAAATAGATAAATCTAAAATAAAAAGCATTACCTATTTTTGCATAATGTGAATTTAAACAGCTTGAACCAGGATTATTTCTTTTAGAAAAAGCCACCCCTCCCTTTCCAACACCCCACCCTAAAATAGAAAAACATACACGCCTTACACCATATATGCGTACTTTTCTAAAAAGAGGTAATCTGGGCTCTGTCAAGGCCAATAAACAGAAATAGATGTTAGCCCCGGCCAACAGCTCAAACCGTTTATCAGGGTAAAATTGAAGAGGTTTTTGGATTAGTACATAAGCAGACACACCCTGTTTACTTTGAAAGCTTAAAACACAACAGCTTCTACACTGAGAGTCTCCGCACCAGAGCAGCCCTGGGAAATCTCCAAAGACAATTTACCTTCCTTTCTTTTACCCTTGAATATAAACAGTAGCTACTTGAGCTTAAAAGGAAAATAATCAGGATATGAGTAGCCTGAATTCTTTGGGATTCTGAAACCAGAGATATTTTGAAAGGAACAAAAATGGGTTTTAAATGTCCTTAAAATCCAGAGGGAAATGCAGCATCAGCTTATTCTTTGGTGTTTAGCCAAGAAGCCAAACTAGCAACGTAGTGGAAGTATGATCAGAAAAGAGCATCCCGTCTGCCATGCTACCAACAGAGAATTAACATACACACGGCCTGAACCCAAATGAGGATGGCCAGAGAGCACAGGAGCACACTGGAATTGGAGTTTAACAGCTTATACACCCCCAGGGAGTACAAATAAAGACACACACATGCACCTGTGTACGCACATACACGCCCTGCGGCTCACTCTTACCTCCAACATAGGCCTGGCACTGTCGTGGACAGACAGAATATGTGTCACTTTGTTCCTGCTCAGTTGCTCTGCATCTCTTGCATCTGTCATGGAAGAAAGGGGAGGATGGACATCTTAATATTCTGTGCAAATTAATGGCTCCTAAAGTCTAGCCCAGAAAAATACACAAAATGACTTGCCTATTTCTTTCTTAAAACTTCGTAACTGACCATACCTCCGAGAAATTTAGGGCTACAGCTTTTATGTGTTTTGCCTAAGTTTATTTCTGATTGGCATATCTTTTGATCCAAAATGTTAACCTAAAACTTGAAATGTACTTATATTAGTAAACATTGTGATCATGATGGCTGCTGTTCAAGGGAAGTAAATTTAGGAGGTCATGCTGTTGTGTAAATACAAACTTTTTCTAAGTGTAGACTCTTAGGTCAATCTTTTGCACAAAACACTTAATAGAGATATTTAAAATATTAAAACCCCAATTATTTATTAATGATTAATATCCTTAAAAAAACAAAATTCAAAAGACCCACTTACTACAGAAGATAGAAGAATCCACTTGATGTATCTTTACCCTGACGGCAAAAGCAAGGATAGGTCTGGACTCAAGCACTGTGCTTTATAAGGTCTATATTCATTTTGGAGCAAAAGTAAACACAGAATATTTTCTGGGAATTCCAAACAGAATTGACCATCAATTATCTGTTGGCTATTAAATTATCTGCCTATGAAACCAAGGAGATACCAAAATACTGTTCCCTTCCAATGCTCCTCCTGTAGAAAGCAGTCTGAATTCAACAATCCCCTGAATTGGAACCCTTCTGGAACCAAAACAGAGGTCCAGCAAGAAGTGAGGAGGTCAGCAGCTTCCCTGAGTGCCTGGCCTGGCCAAGGTGTTTAAAGTGATACAGGGTAAAATGGATTAAAAAGCAAAAGCAAATGGTTAATTATCATGTTTCTGGAGAATATTTAACAATATGGAAAATGCTTAGGATACAATGTTAAGTAAAAGGATGAAGCAAGTACCAAACTATAAATATAATTTAAACTCAATATGTAAAAATGTAGAGACAAACCCATAGGCGGTTGGGGGGTAGGGGTTGGAGAGGAACTGGGATGAAGGCAGCACCAATTAAGGGATGGAATTACGAGTTCTTTTCCTTATAGTTGTGTGTGTGTGTGTTTTCTACACAAGTGGTTCTGACATGTCTATAAACTGCCTGGGAGGCTTATTAGAAAGGCAGATTCTTGAGCCCAAATTTGGTTCCAGGCCTACCATGGGGCTGAGGAATCTACCTAACAAGCCTCAATGATGAAGCAGAAATCTAGAGATATTGTCTTTAATAAATATTCAGCAATGTCAGGGAAAAAATCTTGAAAAGCAACATTAAATGTTGGTTTTATTTTAAAACTCTTCATTGCTCTTGAGTTTTAGACTCTGATATGCAGGGCAGCCGCTGCATCACACGTGGGCTCAATGCCGGCCTCCACCCACTTCCATGATGGGGTATGGGCACGGCCGGCTATGAATCAGGCAGGATCTAGAATGGGTCTGAACCCATAGGCAGTCACCACATTCACACCAAAATGTGATTTTCCAATCAGTACCAGTGTGCGTGTTTTAGATAAAATAGTGAAAAAAGCTAAATGCTAGAGTTTTTGAAGCTCTTACACAGCTAGAGGTGGCAGTGACCAGGAGAGGCAGGCAGCCACAGGGTGCTTCAGGATTCCAATCCTGCCCAGCGTTTGAATTTTAGTCATCTTTGTCTAGATAGACTTTTTAAAATTTACAACAGCTGTATTGAGATAGAATTCACATATCATAATAGCCATCCTTTTAAAGTATAGAATTCAATGGTTCTTAATCCATTCAGAGTCGTGAAATAGCACCATAATCTAACTTCAAAACATTTTTATCACCCCATAACTATACTGTTGCAATACAGATTAATATTTTTTAAAGTCGTTTTGGAAAAAATTATACATTTGGGGATACAGAAGACTACTCGATACCACAAAATAGCCAACTGACTCCTAGACTCCACAGAAAAGGGAAGCAACCCCCTGGCTAACGCTCCTGCGCCTCTCGCTGCTTTCTGTTGCATCAGACAGATGCGCTACTGTGGGGTCACCCAGTCCCACAAAGCTCCATCTGCCTAATTTAGAGTGCATAAAATACCTCATCCGAGTCAGGCGGGGTGGCTCATGACTATAATCCCAGCACTCTGGGAGGCCCAGTGGGCTTTATCATCTGAGCTCAGGAGTTTAAGACCAGCCTGAGCAAAGGGCAAAACCCTATTTCTACTAAAAATAGAAAAAGTAGGTGGGTGTTGTGGTAGGTGCCTATAGTCCCAGCTACTCTGGAGGCTGAGGCAGGAGGGTCACTTAAGCCCACAAGTTTGAGGTTGCTATGAGCTATGACACCATGGCACTCTACCCAGGGCAATAGGGTGAGACACTATCAATCAATAAATAAAATGCCTAAACCACATTGCAGAGCCTGGACATTGGACATTTTATTCTTACTGACTTTACATGCTTGATTGTTTAGGATGGTGACCTACAACCAACAGGGACGGGTATAATGGGTTGCAGATACATCAGTGAGACCACATCCATGAGACCCGGCCCTGTAGTCAGTGGCTTGCTAGTGTGCACATACACAAGCCTACATGCTTCCAACAAGCTCTTCTGAGTTCCTTTCATGTGTACCACCTGAAGCACTTTAGAAATGCAGACTCTCAGGCCCACCTTGGACCTACTGGATCAGAACCTGCACTTTAGTAAGAACCCCAGAAGTAGGTGTACTTTCTACATATAGAGCCCTGCAGAGAATGACCTTTGACCTGGTAGCAATGGGCCCCTTCACCACTATGACATAGCAATGCTATTCCTAATCCAAAAAATCACTCACAGCCACTTTCCATTCATAGGACAGAAAAAAAAATCTAGAGGGACACAAGCAGCCCTATTAAGCATGGTTATTTCAGAATATGAGGTTATGGGACATCTCACTCTCTCTAATATATGTAATTCTATCAGGTTTGAATGTTTTTTTAACAGATAAGCCTGCATTATTTTTTAACTTGGAAAAACTAAAAATATACTGTTCACAAAATTCAATATAAATGTGATAAAGAGTAAAATTTATTATTGCTAATCAAGCTAATCAATTCATTGCTAACCATGTTCTCTTCCTCTCTCTGCCAATATCTCTGGGGTCTCTGGACTCTTGCCAACTCCTGCTATCTGCCTCTGTTTACCCTGCAGGCCTCACATGCTTTCTGAAGAAGCAGAAGCCTCCTTCACACAGGGTGAGTCTTGACCCAGAAATGTCCCGTTCCCTCCTATCAGGTTGTACACTCTATCCTGATTCAGAGGAATGTCCCACATGGCCCAAGGAAGCCTTCGCTGGGGCAGCAGGTGGCTTTGCTGGAAGATGCTATCCTCAGAGGGCAAAGTGGAAGCCACATGCTTCCTTAAAAGGGGAATTAGTGTTCCAGTTCTTACATGAGTAAGATGAGATGTAATGGATGCGGAGAGGAACGGGGCGGCCAGTCCTAAGGCCTGGGAATGCCAGTGTGGCCACGGGAAACAAACTCATCTGGTGAAAGTCAAGCAGAGCTGCCTTTGAATGAAATTCCCCAAAAGATCTTGGAGCAAGCAGTAGAACCTAACACCATCAACCTGAGCGCTTGCTTGAAGGATAAAATGCAGCACCTACAGGAGACCTGGAAGGGGGGCAGGCGCAGAAAGGTCTCTGTTGTAAATGGACCTATCCCCTGCTCTTCTCTGAACCCCACACCATGTCTGAGTCATTTCCCTACATCTTTTGTCTCCTAAAAGATTGAGAATCTGCTCGCCAATCAGCAAGGGATCCCCACCCACATTGGTTGCATTCTGCTTCCCATTTAGACCACATTTAATGACATCTAGAGTTACAAGTTACCACACAGTACAACAACTTTTGAAGTTATGAATTAGCTGTTAGTAGGTTTGACCTCTAAGGATACATTTCCAATCTGGGCCAGGGACTGAAGTGGGACAGGGCCTGCCTTGACCATACCCTGGCTCTGACATTTACTGTGCTGACCTCAGACAAGGTTTCCCCGTGCCTCACTTTTCTCACCTATACAATGGGAATGATGGTAAGAGCAACAATCTCCAAGTGCTGCTGAAAGGATTAATGATTTAGAACAGTGCCTGAGTTCTGGTACATGCATGGTCTTCGCCATCATTCTTACTATTTTCACGACCAGATTAAGTCCTAAGGCTATGGTGTGGGCCTTAACCCATCACCTCTGAACATTTCCAAATCCATACTTACAGCAAAGACACGGTAACCCAGCTCTCCTAGGCTAAGTGGACAGTGGATCACCCCAGGCCCATGCTCACCAGCTGGGCCTCATCTGAGCAACAGGGGTCCTACTGCCAGGAACGTCTATCTCGCTGGCAAACAGAGAACAGAAGGTCTGAGCCCTTGAACATCATCTTTGTGCACATCACCCCCACATGCACGGTGCCTGAGCTTGTTTCTACTTTTCTAAATTTTTTGTGGACATCTTCAAACAATGAGGGCTTCCTCTGTCAGCTAACATCCACTTTTGTCTGTGCCAAGTTGTGAGGAAGCCACAAACCCCACCCTGTGGCCCAGGGAGGGGCTGCTATTCAGGGCATCCACTCCTGCCTCCCCCACTGGCATGTGGGGCAGAGTGGGCTGCTGGATTTTAGCCCCTCAACCAAGAGTCTGTCAGCACATCAGAGACAGGCTCTGGAGTTGGGTTGTTTGTGAGCTTTTTCTAGGTGGAAAAATCACCAGGTGTTGGAAAACTGTGATTCAATGCAAAGTTAAAGAAAAACAAAAAGGAAGTTTCAGAATGACATGTGAGGCATCCCAGTGGAAAGAAAGAGGGAAGAAAAGAAGGAAGGAAGGGAGGGAGGGAGGGACAGAGGGAGCGAGGAAGGGAGAAAGGAAGGATGGAAGGAGGGGAGAGAGGCCAAGGAAGGGAGGGGACAAGATGGAAGTGGAAGCGGAGGAAGGAGGTGGGACAGGAGAAGGGCGTGACTGTTAATGTTTCTTTATAACATTCTACTTCACTAGTTGTGTTACAAAGGGCATGTATCACTTACAGTTTAAAAAGAAGAGGCTAAATGAGTGAGATGCCCTAAAGCACAGACAGCAGCTGGATTCACCTTCTAGGAGAAAGAAAGGGGCCACCTTTGCTAGCTAATGGTACCCAGCTGCCTGCTGGAAACCTGGCAAGGTGTTGGTGTTTCATAAGCATCTATCAGGCACCCACAACAGCTTGCAGTAAGCGTATAGGTCCCATTTCACAGACATGGAGGGAACCAGGTACTGGGCCCCGAGCTGACTGACAGCGTCAGCACACAATCTGCTTCCGCCTCACCAGCCCAAGGATGATGTCACCATCCTCACTCTCATGCCCAAGTGTGTATGTCACTCCTCTGAGGACACAGGCTGGCTTGTGGGGTGCCTGGGATTCCAAGGCAGGCCATCTGACAGCTTTATGGCACTCTGTGGGTCCTTTCTGCTCTGGGCCTATTCCCTGAAGTCAAGGACTATTGTCCACATCTAACTCTGAGCACATTGTGTGCTCCTTACATAGTTGGAGAATGAATGAGTTAATTTACAGCACTACTCTTCATTTTTTGTTTGTTTGTTTTTGAGACAAGAGTCTCACTCTGTTGCCCAGGATAGAGTACCCTGGTGTCATCATAGCTCACAACAAACTCAAACTTTAGGGTTCAAGAGATCTTCTTGCCACAGCCTCCTGAGTAGCTGGGACTACAGGTACCTGCCATGGCGCCTGGCTAGTTTTATCTATTTTTATTAGAGAAGGGGTCTCCCTCAGGCTGGTCTGGAACTCCTGAGCTCAAGAAATCCATCCACCTCAGCCTCCCAGAATGCTAGGATTAGAGATGTGAGCCACTGCATTCCTCTGTTTTAGGTAAGTCCTACACCTAGGGAGTATTTAACAAATGTATGGTAAATTAATAAGTGAACAAAACATACCACATACTAATATAACTGTAGGCAACAACTGTCCGAACAAGGACAGGTGGTCGGCTGGTTAGAACACTCTAAGAGGTAAAACCACAAAGCAAGAATCAAAGGAACTGGCTTGGTGCCCATAGCACAGTGGTTATGGCACCAGCCACATACACCAAGGCTGCCGGGTTCATACCCGGCACAGTCCAGCTAAACAACAATGACAACTTCAATAGCTGTGTATTGTGGGGGGCACCTGTAGTCCTAGCTACTTGGGAGGAATCATTTAAGCCCAAGAGTTTGAGGTTGCTGTGCACAGTGACGCCACAGCATTCTACCAAGTGTGCCATAGTGAGACTCTGTCTCAAAAACAAAACAAAACAAAAACAATCCAAGGAACTGCGAGGGGTTCCTACCTCACTGAATAGTTAGAAGACAGGCATAGATTCTAGTATAAAAAGTGTTTTATGTATTTCCTTCAAACTATGCATGCATGTCCTTCTTATAGGTAACCTTTTATGATGAAGGCAAAAACTCTTAGATACTGCTGGCAGAAGTATTAAATTTGTTTGATAATTGTTAAAATTTTTAATTTGCAAAGCTTTCACCCAGTAATCCTACTTCTAAGAACTTATCCTAAAGTCCATTCTCAAAGACACCCCCTCACACCAGGAAAGCAGTTAATAATAACCCACTTAGTAACTCTATGGAGATATTTGCTCAGTTAATGTATCCCAGGCTAACGCCAAAAAAGCTTGCTACTTTTTCAGAATACAAAGGTTACTAATTTAGGAATTCCAGTATTACTTTTTTCGTTCTCTATTTTTTTTTTTTTAATTTCAGATTCCAGTATTATTTTTAACATGTCCTACTAGCAACCAGTAGCTGTCAGGCCCCTGTACTCAATTCTCTTTGAGGCCAATCAGAGGTGCTAGGAGCTGGAGGAGGAGTCCGAAGTGGAGGGGAAGAAAAGGAAACAAATTTATGAAGAGAAGTAATAAAGATTATTTGCACAATCAATTGGAACCTGAACTCACAAATTTAAGCAACGTCCAGAAAGCCAGCCGGAGTATTTTCCAGTGTTTCCTGTGTTCTGGCTGGCTAGGGGAGAGAGGAGCGTGAGATGCCTATGACAAGGCATAGCTTTGTCCAACCCAACACAAGTCAGGACTTACTTGTTGCAAATTTCCCTGGATGTTTCTATCCTATTAAGAGCACCTCATCTCAATGCAAGGAGCCAGTGTTTTCACTTATACAAACTCAGAACATCACACAGCAGAAGGACTAGGCCTCTCCTTGGAAACCTGGAAAGTCTGGTGACCACCATGTACTTCGCCTACAGGGATGGGTGAAAAATAAAGCGTCCACAGCTGACAGCAAATCAATACATTCTGAACAAGCAACAGGGAAATGCATGAGAGGAGATGACAATCCAAGATAAGAACAACCTGCCAGAGATAAAACTTGTCACTCAGGTTTCCCAGGTGATTTTTTTTTTTTAAAATAGCTTCTGTAATTCATTAACAAAAACTAGAAAATGGGCTTGATGCCCGTAGCACAGTGGTTATGGCGTCAGCCACATACACCAAGGCTGGCAGGTTTGAATGGTCCAGGCCAGCTAAACAACAATTGCACGTTGTTGTTAAAAAATAGCTGCACGTTGTGGTGGGCACCTGTAGTTCCAGCTACTTAGAAGGCTGAGTCAAGAGAATCGCTTAGGCCCAAGAGTTTGAGGTTGCTGTGAGCTGTGATGCCTTGGCACTCTATCAAGGGTGACATACTGAGATTCTGTCTCAAAAAAATGAAAATAAAAACAAAAAAACAACTAGAAAATGAGAGTGGCAAAAAATTATAAATAAGTTACGTGGCTGATAAATGTTGTGTTCACCACCTTTTGATAATAATGTCCCAGGGATCATGGAAAGTTAAATGGAGGAACTGAGCTCCAGTCAGAGTCTGCACAGCCTCACATCACTTGCCCAGCCCTTGATTTGGGCTGGGCACCAGAATAAGGGACTGGGAAGGGGTCTGTGCACCAGTGGTGGCTGCTTCCAGAACAGAGTAGGTATAGAGTGAGTCTACACCTTGCCTGCCAATCATACATGAGAAGTCTAAAGCTTACCTTTTAAAAAGGGAACTCACCTTAGGTGGAAAACAACCCAGGACAGATGAAGGGGGG